TTTCGGCCAAAATGGCCATCATCAGGAGAAGAAATTTTTCTGCTTGCTGGTAGCAGTAAACTACAGAAATGAATGTCTTGATGGAGAAAATGAACTTTTGTCTGTAGTTTTCATATTTTTTTTTTATTTTTTTAGCGTTTTAACATGAATCTTTTAACATTCCTTGTGTTGGTCAAACAGTCTCTTTTAAGTTGCTATTTGAGATAAGAGCTGGATGGATCCCTGCTGCTCTGAATTCCTCTGGTCAGTTTCACAGTTTTATTGGTTCCTGGAGGGTTATGTGTCTCTGTTAAGTGTGTGTGTGTGTGTATTTGATTCTTAGGGTGAGTGAGTATGATATATATATATATATATATATATATATATATATATATATATATATATATATATATATATATGAATTGGGAACAAATACAGATCAAATATTGATCAGATTCCGAATGATAATGTATAATCGACACAGATAAACACAACCGCGCGTGCGCGCGCGCGCACACACACACACACTTACGAATATAGACAATCATCTGAATCCCACGTAGGCAAACTAGAATTATGACACTCTTATATAAAGCAATATTTACGGTCATTTGTTTACATTCGATACGCCAGAGCAGTTATGAATGTACGAGATTCATGGAAAATTGGAGTTTATAAGCAGTAAATTCGACCTTGTCTACCGAACGCTTCTTTGTAGCCTAAGCGGTAAGGCACGTCAGCGTATATGACGGTTCCGTATAGGATGCAGGTTCGAATCCTGTCAAAGAACGAAAATTTTCTATGAAAATTTCTCGGACATTCAGGCCGGTAAATGTTATTTAATACTGTTTATCATAAACAGAGCATTTGCTTAAATAACAACGTTAAACATAAAATATGTCTTTAATAATTATATATATATATATATGCATTCTCCCTTAAACAGTATAAAACAAGATGTACTTTGTAACATTTAAGATTTCACTTCAAAGTTTGTCAATTTGTTTCATTTCAGACGAATCAAATTTATTTATTGTTTTTTAATTTTCGTGCCACAAAGATTATTTTTCATTTTACCAGATAAAGACGGACGTCTTTCATTTAATTTTGCCGCTCAGCGATATTATCTCTGTGACAACAAATGACATGTTGGTGATGACAATTATGATTTTGCGCTCAGCCGTATATGACAAGAAAGAAAAACACCCCCCCTCTTAGAGGAAACACTATTTTCAAACCAGATTTTTAAGAAGCACATCTTCAATTTGGGGACATATGTCGGCGGTCTGACTTGTGAGAAGAAGTGATCTTTGATTTGATGTGTAAAAACAGACGCTTTAATTCTTAAATGAAATCCATTCTCTCTTTCTCATTCATATATATATATATATATATATATATATTAAATGAATAAATAAAATATTTAGTATAAATAAATAAATAAAATAATCATTTTGTCATCATTCATATATCTTGTTCCTGAAGTGATTATTTATTCTGACGAAACTGAGTTAAGATGTGTCTTTGAACTTTTTTATTATTTACTATTAATGTCCTATTTCTTAATATTGAGCTCAGAATCTCGCCTTAAACGCGTTATCCCCAAGTAATTTACTGATGGAAATGTTTTTAGATGAAAATAAATCATTGTTATATATATATATATATATGATTATTTATTTAAAGATTATAACATAAATATGTTATAAAATCACTACAAAAATAGCCATTTTGTTTCAACACCTCTGGTGTCTTATCAAGTGATGATGTTGAATGTAGATTATTGAATAAAGGTTTTAAAAGGTTTAAATTAATTAACCATCCCTCGTAGGTCATTTCAGCTCATGTAACAGCGTTTCCCTTTACGACGGGTGGTTAATTAATTTATTTAGTTCTTATTTATGTTATAATTTTTAAATAAATAATTATATTCGCTCTACTCTGTATTGAGCACTCTTTTAACAATAGTAATTGTTGGTTATTGGAATTTATTCCATATACACCAATAGTACACTTGGATATATATATATATATACACACATACACACACACACACACACACACACACACACACACACACACATATATATATATATATATATATATATATATATATATATATATATATATATATACATATATATACATACATTATATGAAAAAACCCGTTGGATGTTTCATTTTCCCAAATTATAGCTTACATACTTTGTTCGGCTATTACATATCAGACATTTTAGCATAATACATACATACATATATATATATATATATATATATATATATATATATATAGATAGATAGATAGATAGATAGATAGACAGACCTAGTGAGCCAGACAAACCTACCTAGGTTTCACCTAAACGGATCGTCAGGGAAAGTTTGTATCTAGGTCTGCTCTACGGTTGTATTGAGCTCTTTTGTTAGTTAGTTGTTACTCGTATCGTGGTTTTTCTTTGGGCTTCAGACCTGCATCTGTGCGATTTTTTTGTCGGCAGAAGTTCATGTTTGTAGCTCTTTCTTTTTTTTAAAACCTTTTTTTTCCTCGAGATTGATTTGATTAGCATATCAAAAATTCGAGGGTTTTTTCAAACGAGTCTAGTTATCTATATTTATATGTATATATATATATATATATATATATATATATATATATATATATATATATATATATATATCAGTGGCGTAGCAAGAGTAAACGTCACCCGGGGCGGTCCGCTCAAATGTCACCCCAATGACCCCGATTCACCCTATGCTGAATGGTTAGCTGTAGCTAAATTTTCATACATGCTCTACCTCTACTTTACTCTACTGACCGGTACGTTACTGTTTACATGTATGACCCAAGGCAAAATCCAATACCACAAAATAATCAGTTCAAATCAAAAGCTGAAAACATTGCTACTCACAAATTTCCCGACAATTTATTAGAAAATTTCTGACGGGGTACAAAACTGGGGGAGTCATAAATTATTTCTGGGGAGTCATATGCCCACCTGTGAAACCCTGTGTCTCCACCACTGTTTTCAGACTATTTTTGGCACCTTAGCCTGGTTGAAAAATTTTGTTGGGGGTGACATTGTGTCACCCCTCCTGTGATGGCACCCATGGTGGTCCGCCCCCTCGCCCCCCCTTAGCTACGCCACTGTATATATGTATGTATATATATATATCATAGAAAAACAAAAACTGTTGCAGAACTAACGAACAACTAACCAAATTTAAAAATTTTATCCAAATAATGTCTCGGACAAAAATGACAGTACTGAAAAAAGAAAGAGGAAAATTCGTTAATCAGCCTACAAGTGTCTAAGGTAAGCCTAACTATCGAATAAAGTGCTCGAAACCTAGATTGCCTAGACCTAACAAAAACGCTTAACAACGTTAAAGCTTATGAAAAGAGGGCCCTAGTCGTAACCCGAGTTTCTCGCCCACGCGATATTCATCTCTCTTTCTCTTTCTCCCTCTCTCTCTCTCTCTCTCTCTCTCTATATATATATATATATATATATATATATATATATATATACATACACACACACACACATATATATATATATATATATGTATGTATATGTGTGTGTGCGTGTGTGTAAAGAGAGAGAAAGAGAGTGACTGAGTGGCGAAAGTTATAAGAATAATATCAATCCAAGATCCTGACATTAGTTAAGGTTGTTATATCTTTTTTCGAGATAATATTGACGCTTTATCATGTCATAACATACACACAGAGACGACCTGACCTTCCCGAAAAAGACATGGTTTGTTTTCTAAGTTTTCTATCTCCAAGACTGTCATCCAAAGCAAGAGAACAAAGTTTGCTTTACTGTTTAATTAATAGCTGGAAGGAGATGGTTTTCAAAGGAAACAAAACAGAATCGACCAGAATTACTTTTGAATGTGGTTATACCATACATATATAGACAGCCGGAATAAGTAACGGAACTTAAAATTTAACCATGTGAAAACAGTATTTTTATGTCCTTAATGGTCTCAAATTAGCTCATTGCAAATAATTTCTACGTTTGCGAAGTAAAGTCAGAAAGTGCTAAGTCAAGGCTGTGGTAGATTTCTAATGTTTTTCCATCGAAATTTCCCTTGTTTGATAAGACGAACGGACATATTTATTGTTATGGTGGAAACGTATTCTCTGATGAAGCTTTCCTCGGTGCTTTTTTGCGAAATATTTAGCTAATTTTCACAAAACACTTTCATAAACAGACCTTACAGTTGATTCTCCTCTGAAAAAGACATTTAGCAAAATGACCCCAGCATTCCAGAATACTCTAGGTCCATAAAATTTCCGCCTTACTGAATTGATTTGCTTTGGATTTGGGCCCTTTAATCTTTGATTAATCATTGCTTCCACTGAGCCTTATCATAATGGTAAAGTTGAGTTTCATCTCCACTTTCATTCCGCCCCAGGCAACTGTAAGGATTTTGATCCCGTTTTAAAATCTCTATCGAAAACTGTACTCTTGTATGCTGCTGTATCTGAGCGGGATAGTTTTGGTTAGCGAGGAACAGTAAGTTTGCTCTAGTTTAATTTTTAAGATAAAATTGTGTGAGATGAACCAACTGAGATGTCTATGTTGGTTGATTGGTTGATTTTGCTTAACGTCATATCAACCTCTATGGATTATTTAATGCCGAAATCTAAATATTTTGATTAGTTTGGTTGATTTTGTTTAGCGGCTTATCAACCTCTATGGGTTATTTAATGCCGAAATCTAAATATTTTGATTGGTTTGGTTGATTTTGTTTAGCGGCTTATCAACCTCTATGGGTTATTTAATGCCGAAATCTAAATAATTTTTGTACACAATTTTATTTTAATTTTGGAGATAACAGTGGTTTAGTGATACAAGTCTTACTAATTAACCTGGGGGAGAAGAGGTGGATTTATACCTTTCCCAAGAATATTTGCGCGTAAGTGAATATAACTTACCCGACTGGAATTGGAATTCGGCTCTCCGATAAACAATTCCATGCCATTATTCATCACACCACCCGTACATCCAAGCTTATAGCACCTAGTATTCCCAAGCGGTTACCCATCTGGGGACTGACCAGACTCGAGACTGCTTAACCTTGGTGATCGTACGAGAATTGGTGTTTCGAAGAGATGTGAAAGTAAGCCATAAGTTATTCTCAAAGCACTAATAATGTCCTCATCTTTCCTGTCATGTTTTATTATCAATGTGATGTTAGTTTTTGCTTCAGTTTCGGCAGGCTTCACACGGCTCTAAATAATTTTTAAGCTGGCATAAACTTCAATCTATTACATCGAAATACTTTCCGTAAAAGTTATTACACATAAGCACAAGGTTACTTTGTTTCAAACAAATATCAAAATATTGGTATTAATGTTTTTTTTTATTATTATAACAAGCATTTTCTCGCACAATTTTTGAATACCTTGTTATGGTCTAGTTCCTTGTACCACGCTGATAGTCCAAGGTAGAACCAATAAAGAAGAACTCGAACACAGGTATGGAATAACACAGATATATTACAAACAGGAATATATACAGAGAAGTAGAAAGTGTTAGTACGAACAATCAGGTTTAGTAGTAATTGTCTGAACACGACTCTGTTCCGGACTGCCTCTGACTCGACTGACTGACTCCTGACGGACTTCACTCTAGACTTCAGACTGGACTCTCGTTTCCTCTTGATGCGCAGTATTTATTATGTATGGAATAGTCCATTATGTTATTATGGGTAAGGTCCCATAACATACCTTTAGTATTTTTTCATATCCATCTGTACCAGCCTTCATATCTATCTATCTATCTATCTATCTATCTATCTATCTATCTATCTATCTATCTATCTATCTATCTATCTATGTGTTATATACCGTACCTATGAACACATGGGTATGTACCAATCCTCATAAATACGTTGGACACTACTGTAAGTGGGCGTAATTTGCTCTCTACGCTGGCAGCGCGAGCCGTCAGCGTGGGAAGCTCTTGCCGTGTCGAACTCTCTGCCTTCGGGCAGAGTCTCGTCCAGGGAGATAGACAGATAGCCGATTCCGAGTATACGGGGTCTACGGGCAATTTTTGCCTGAGCACACGGGCTCGGATTTGCCAACATTAAATTTGGCCTTGTGCCACATCCTACCTCGTGGGGTGGTAGGTAAATATCGTAATATGCTGTCTAAGTAGTCCACCAATAGCAGTGGTTTACCTACTTCACGTCGCTGGCGAGTATTGTATTTTGTTGATGTTATAAAGATTACCATTTCATTTCCAACCTCCGTTTTGATTATTCCTCGTTCAGTAACCCTTTCTCGGTTACAACACTATCTATCTATCTACCTATCTATCTATCTATCTATCTATCTATCTATCTATCTATCTATCTATCTATTCCAGCATGTACCAATCAATTATCATGCTCTTATCGCCACTTCATGTACACAAGATCAACTCATCGTATTCCATTGGTAAGTAGGAACTTCCACACTGACAGCTTCTTCTCCGGAATTTGAGGAACAGACTCACGAGTGGATTCTTCGCCTATCACTACAATATTAACATTTTTCAAGTCTAGGGTCACTCGTTATCTATCCCACCTATCCTCATAATATGCACTTCTTACTTTCTCCATTTACGTCTTTACAAAAGCCTCATTTAGTAAACCTCTACATTGAGTGGCTCTTGGGTTTTGCATTGGGTGAAAAACAGTATAAAAATAACCATCTGTATTATAGGCTTTGGATTCGCGAACGTCCCCTTTCTGGTACCGCAGACATACTAATATTTGATGAGACCGGTAGGCAATAATCAAGTTCTATCATGGCAAATACTGGACTAGCAAGGATGATCAGTATGTTTTGTTCTTCAAAACCCGGGTTCTATAGCTTGTTTTATTTTTTTTTACGTCGATTTCTCAAAAAGTGCGGCAAACTGGAAGAATGTCTATCGCCAAGCCTTCCTGCTCGGGATGTGTGTTACATAAACTTGGTGCTGTCCAAAATTTCAGTGAATTTAAACCGACTGTAGTCCCCTCCCGTTTTTGAAATCACTGCACAGAAAGCGAAGTAGACTCATTTTAACGAGACGGTGAAATTTAGGTCTACGTGTAAGCAATTTATTTTATGAACATTCAAAACAACACACCAGCCCACGAAAAGGTTGCCATATATCAGCCATATAAAAAAAAACAAAACACTGACAAACCACTTTACATGCATACCTCTTTCAACCATCTGCCAACAACAATCAAACAGATCCTACAGTCTGTTAACCTACGGTTAACTGACAATTCTTCGAATGAAACCATCTACAACGAACCCCGAAAAAGATTATGAAACAGCTCTAAAGAAATAGTGAATTTCCGATAACTCACATACCCACCACACACAGCAAAAAGAGCCAACCGAAAACCACAAACACTTAGCCTCATCAAGCACTCTTCGGAAGATATTCCACAAAAACACAGAAAAAATCGGCTACAGTCGCACCGAGCACATGACCCAAATGATACAAAAGAGCAAGAGAAAAATAACCAACAAATCAATCATGGAAACCAAAGCCACGTGTAACTGCATAGCAAAGCATGAATGTCCGTTAAACTTCAATTGCCTATAAGGTAATATAATATATGAAGCAGTTTTATCAAAAACAGTAAATAACAAATAAAAAATATACATAGGAGCAAAAGAATGACTATGGACCGACAAAAACGACGTACACATAAGTTCCTTTACCAACAGTAATTAGTTGACCCTATATGGGAACTTGAAATCAAAAACAAAAGACAAAAAAATATCATAGAAAATAAGTAAAACCAGCCTAAAACAATAAATGAATAAAGCTGTAAACCGGAAGAGAAAATAGCTACAATCATCTTAACAGACTAACGCAAATTACTAAATAAGCCATCAGAACTTATCTCAAAATGCAAACACGTAAAACATTTTACTACGTTACTCGAAAATCAATAGCTAAAAACAACTACCTTGTTTAGAACCATCAAGATAAATGCAAATATATACACACTCTATACAATGCAGATAATGTAATAAACTTTAAACACAGCCAATATTTTAAACAAACAATAAGAAAATCGCCTCAAATGAAAAATATAAATAAAAAATAAAGAAAAATAATAAAGAAAATGAGTAAATAAGTAACAAACAAATTAACTCCACGAATAGAGAAATAATCACAATTAAGTAAATTTAATAATAATAATAATCAACAGCGAAAAATTAATGTATAAATACTAAATAACCTAAGCAACGAATAATAATTAATAATTTAAACGTTAACAACAATTCTATAAAATAGCTTTAAAATAACAGTATTCGGGTCTATATTTTTTCAATCGTAAATAGCTTTAGAATAATTTATGGTATAACAGCTCTCATCTATCCAAGATTAGGATAATACAATAAACTGTAAATATCTGACTTTGCTACCCATGATGTCCATTGACCAGCATATATAAATAGTCGCGCTACCTGCAAATGGACAAGGCCTGAGAATTGCGTTCAAGCATCAAACGGACTGTCGCCTCTCAGTGTTGACTTCAGTGACCATTATTGTATTTACACACGCTGTCACTGACATTGAGAACTTTTACTATATTTGTATCATATATATATATATATATATATATATATATATATATATATATGTGTTTGTGTGTGTGTGTGTGTGTGTGTGTGTGTGTGTGTGTGTATATAGAAAAATAGGAAAGAACTCGTTATAAAATAGGAAAGAACTGCAAAAGTTCTTTTTAGTATTTTGTTATTATTTTTAAAAAATAGTGCTCGATACAAAAGTAGAGCATAAATATAATTATTTATTTAAAAATATGATTCAACACGCTACATAAGAGTTCTCATGTTTCAAAACAAGAGCCGAAAAACTTCAATATAAATTTTTATTTTCCATTTTCGAAAATATAGACCCGAATACTGTTATTTTAAAGCTATTTTATAGAATTGTTGTTAACGTTTAAATTATTAATTATTATTCGTTGCTTAGGTTATTTAGTATTTATACATTAATTTTTCGCTGTTGATTATTATTATTATTAAATTTAATTAATTGTGATTATTTCCATTCGTGGAGTTAATTTTGTTTGTTACTTATTTACTCATTTTCTTTATTATTTTTCTTTATTTTTTTTTTATATTTTCATTTGAGGCGATTTTCTTATTGTTTGTTTAAAATATTGGCTGTGTTTTAAAGTTTATTACATTATCGATTGTATAGAGTGTGTATTTTAAGTCAATTTAATTCAAATAATTATATTGAAGTTTTCGGCTCTTATGTAGATGGAATCATATATTTAAATGAATAATTATATATATATATATATATATATATATATGAATAAAAAAGACAAGAGGAAAACTATTCTTAGCCGACCTTGTCTCTTTTTATTCATTTTGTTCCTCTATAGATATACTCTATCTGAAAATAATTTACACACACAAGCACACACACACACACACACACACACACACACACACATATAGATTTTTATTTATTAATCTGACAGATTTATTGCTTAAACGTTAATCTTTTGTAGATACCCATATTTGAATAGATGCCCGCGTTTAATTATGAAACACTATATTTTTATTTTCGTCTACCGGCATGAATATCTTGCCCAAGGGCGTGAAGGATTCGAATCCTGCTGGAAAGCACGTAAATGGAGCATCTACTTAAATATGGGTATCCACTAAAAATAACGTTTAAGTAATAATAATTATAATATATATATATATATATATATATATATATATATATATATATATAGATAGATAGATAGATAGATGCATGTGTGTGTGTATGTGTGTCTGTATAGTGAGATAGATCGAGAAACTAAATTATATCTATGTAGAAAATTTGTGGGCTTTCACCAGTTATTGTAAATTTAACAATTCTCGCGATCCTCAATTTCCCCGCCTCCATGCTAACACTTGAGATATGCCTGCAAGCATCGTTATTGATGACTCGTTGCAGTTTTAAGATATGAAACTTAATGGACATTTCTCATCTTTTACCGACATGGGATATTCTGCAGTTATTGAAGCCCCAGACACGCCTAACATTTTCTGGATCCCGCCCTTCCGATCACCAAGAATCA